GCTAAAGTTATTTCTCTCCTCTACATAAATTTCAACCACACAATTTTTATTTTATTAATCCACGTGCAAGTCAACATTGGCCAACCATTTTGGGACGTAGGGAGTATTAAATTGATCGATAAAATAAGAGTGATTTGGAATCACATAAATTTTACAAAATTTGATATTAGACAACCTTAATAGGACGGATAAGAAATAGTGAGACAACCTTTGTGGGACATGCTCACGGAAGGTAGTGGAATACTACTTATCAAAGAAAATAACTTATGAATGCTTATTAAACATGGAGGATGAAACTAATACATGAATTGTTTTTTAAAGAAAATTGACATATTATATTAAATCAAATCAAACGGTGTGAAACTGAGAGACGGTATAATCAGGAGAATTACAAACAATAAAGTAATCACTCGACACTAACCTCCCTCTAATGAAACATAACCATAAGCTCACTTATTCCCTCACTCCTTTATCAGACATAGAGTAGTCCACCCTAAAAAGAGTAGAACTACCCACTGAAAATGTGAGAGTTTCGAGGCTATTAACGATTACGTCAGACTTATTGCCTCTCAACAGAAAACTAGCAACTAAGGTAAGCCAAACTAAGAATCTACCACCCTTATTATTTGATGTAATAAAAACAAAATAAAGATTAACAAACGGAACATAGTAAAAAATAAATAAACTTCAGGTGGTGGAACAGAGAGATCCGTTCTTCAAACGTCGTCTTCTGAACCCTAGTCACGCAGTTCCACTGTGGCGGCGGTTCAGGAGGGGGACGATTCATCCACATATCATCTTCTTTCTCCACCACCTGAGACAGCCAAAACAAAGGCGTTGATGCCCTAACACCCGACTAGAGTCCAAATTCGCCCTTTCCACCTGACCCCAAACTGTCAGTGTTCCACCTAGATCAAACACAGCTGGTGCAGCTTCCATCTCAATCACCACCAAAGTCAAAATAGCCAAACCAAGCATCGGACAATGAGGCTCACAACCCTAGCCGCCACGACCACCTCTGATTCTCCGAAACCACTGACGACTCCTCGTGGCTTCATGCGATCGACGAAACCGCGTCTCTGAGATCCTCCTCAATCTGTCGGCCGCTACTTGAAACAGGTCGGGCCTCCAGCCCAAATTCACACTGGAGCCTACTGGACCACCGGGACAGAGCCACCGTAGCAGGGAACCCATCGCCGTTATCCGCCAAAACTTCCGTAGACATCGTTAGGACTCCCACTTTAGATCATTAAGAGAAAGAAATTGCCGAGCACAACCTCAAGACATGCACAATCTTGTTAATCCGGCGGAAGAAGGAGTCTACCCACCACCCTCCGCCCGATAGATCCGATCACCGCCGCCTAGGGTTCTGTACAAGTTGCTAAGACTTTACAGTCTTGCATATTGAAATTATTAAAATATGAACTGTTAATATACCTAATTTATAGTTTTGTATTTTCAAAATATGCATATTAATAGGAGATTTTCTGAAATAGAAGTAAAAACAATGTAAAATTTTAAAATGTGAATGTTATGCTTTCAGACTACCTTATTGTTATCCACAAATGATACCACCATATTTCCATATTTTGATAGGGATGTGACAAGTCTGGTCATGGACATATTTTCACTAAATTTTGAAATTACCCGTAAAATCTCAAGTTATGAAAAACAAGGATCAGAACAGGGCCTACTATGTCATGTTTGAGTTGAGTTTTTGGTAAACCGGTTCGCCTGGGTAACATTATTTGGTTAATCACCGAAATCACCAATAGTTCAAACTCAAGCAAACTAATTTATCTAAATATTGTGTTTATGATACATGTGAAAAAATATATTAGTATATTATATTCATTTTATATCAAAGGTAACAATTTTTGGGTTTTGCTCGATCAAAGTTGGGTTATAGATCAGAGACCATTGGTGGGAAGAATTTTCGTTTCCGGTGTAGATATTTTTAATTGAACTACCAAAAGAAAAAATATATGAACTGGTAACATACATCTTTCTGGCCAATCAAGGGTCGATTTTCGAGTTTCAGAATGTCTAATGTTATAATTGACAGTACTTACCAAACATGACCTTAACTACTCATAATTAAGGAATAAAAACATAATATTTCTATTTTGATTTTTTACACCTTTTCTATTTAGTGCAATTTCTATATATCAATGTAAAAAGTAACTATTGGAATGCTTATTAAATGCGTAATATGAAACTAATATATGAATTATTATTTTTATCATAAAACATGTGAATTTATATTAAAATCGAGAACACATACAAGACAACTTTCAGACAAATTTTACAGATCCAGTCGTAAACAATAGGAGTAGACATAGGGAGTGTTTGCAATCAATTTAAAAAAAACACTTCTCAGTTTTTGGCTTAAAAAGCACTTATTTACCAAACACTACCAATTTTTACTTTTTCTCGGCTTGCGTGTGAAAATTGTTTCCCCCCTTTCTATTACACAAAAAGCACTTATTTTACCAAACACTATCAACTTTTACTTTTCAAAATCATTTTTTTCTCAAACACTATCAACTTTTCCTACTAATCGCTTTTTCCTTACATCTCCAAAAGTGCTTTTTTTTAAGCAGAAGCAGTTGCAAACACTCCCATAGAATCAGTCACCTCATACAAAGCAATCTGACTCGCTAAACCTGAAACGGACAAATATAAGCCTAAAACAAAAACCAAATCTACTCGGAAAAAACAAAAACAATTACTACTAAATATAAAATATTATTGAAATAAAATCTTTCCACAAAACTCTTCCTTGAATGGAGGTGGTTCCGGAGGAGAACGAGCTCTTGCAATATACGTGAATACCAACTCCAATATCATCGGAGCGGCCGACCAAGGCTTCACGATCCAACACCGATACAAACCCCCAATTGCAATCTGTTCATCCGTCAACGTTATCTCTTCTAACGTAGTTGCAATCCCAAGCGCTAGAACATTTATAATCAGTATAATCTGCCGCTCCAACCCCATATTGATAGGGCGACGGAAATTCTAAACCCCCACAAAGAGGGGAGACGACCGCTAGGTTTTTTAATATATGAACTAATAATATGCCTAATATATAAAGTTATATATTTTTCAAAAGTAGAAATATTAACAATGTAAAAAAAATATGTCAAGTACCTTGTGGTCTGATGATATCACTGTTGACCTCCCAAAGATTAGGTCGCAGGTTCGAGTCACATCTCAATCAAGGATGTTGGCATAACATGAGCACGAAGATACTATAATAGGTTTAGAATATTGTTCCAAAAAAAACAATGTAAAAAATGGTCGAAATTCATGAACCAAGATTCCATCTCATCCCAATTTCAAGAAATGGTGTAAGAGAGTTGACAAAACAACCCATGAACCCGACTATAAAAAATGCTTGATGCATTTCGATCACACAAAAAACATGGATATGTTTGACACAACTAACTAAAAAAGTACTTTTATGAGCTTTTTTGTAACCGTTAGTTTTTAGTGACTGGTTAGATCTTAAAAGAAGAAGGTAGTAGTTGTTTGATAAAAATATGACTCTTTGATTTAGTTCTGTTTGATATACAAGCTGTTGGGATTTGGAAGTAATTGATGCTAGAAGCTATTGACTTATCGTAAGTAGCATCTCAGAAAAGATCTTTTATTATTTTTATTAAAGCTCTTGAAATTAACATGTCAAACATACAATTAGAAGTTTTTAAAGACTTTTAAATAGTACAAAAGCTATGAGACAAGAGACTTATGTGTGTCAAACATAAGTTAATTCTGATTAGTACTCAAATTAGAACCCATTCCTTGGGACGTCACAATATTAGAGGGTGATGCATAATATGAATGTATGGATCAACTTATTCACCAAAAACTCAACTTTTAATTCCGCATATTTAATTGTGTAATAATCAAAATAGACAAAATTGGAGTATGGGGTAAACTTTTCTAGTTGAAGTTACTCTAAATGGTCATTTTAACTATTTTCCATATATTTTTCTTTATTTATTAACAATATATTTTAAATTCAATTTTGCATAATTGAATAGAGTCAATCAAAGATTCAATAATTTCAACAAAATTAATCAATTCAGCCAATTTACCAAATGTGATAAAGCGCTAGTAACACTTGTGCAATTACAACGAATGACTACTCAAGCTGATGGAGTAGAAGCATGTTAACACACCTGTTAATAGCATTGTAATGGTTTTCGTTTTGAATTCGAGGACCCTATAGTAGTGTTAAGTCCTTTGTGGAATAGCTTGGTGATCTTATCTTGAGAGTATTACATGTCTCTCTATATTATCTTTTGATTATACTTGTAATTATTCGGCAATGATGAGTCTGCGGTTCCGGGAATTGCCTAAGTGCACTACCTTGGGTCAAAGGTGGAGAGTGTTAATATATTGTTGGGCCAAACGTTTTTTGTATATTAATAATGATTAACACCTTTTCTAGCAGCTCACTACATTATTTATCTACCTGGCTTATCAGTATTTGCCTCTCCGGTTAGAATTCAAATTGAGCCCATTATTGAGCTAGTGGTGAGTTGTGTGTGCAGTGTATTATTTGAGTGTCCTTCTGAGTCGTAATAAGGATAGCCCTACACCCTTGTTGTGATGAGTGGAGTGTACCGAGAGAGATAGTGCAGCTAATATTTTTCTCCCTGGACCCTTTGTGTGAGCAAGAAGTAGAGCATAGTGAGGTGAATGAATATCAAAGAGTGAGCCAAACTATCCATCCTTGGTGAGGTGAGAGTTGGCAAGGCTAGAAATCTGCATTGCTCCCTTAGCTAAGGTGTGCACAAAAAACAACCGGAAAACCGGCATCCAGGCTGCCTGAGTCGAAAACTCGAAATCCGGCGACGAAATCGATCCTCAACAACACCACTTCATAAGTTTCACAAATTTTATCAATATTGACTAAGATAACAAAATTAAGTGTCTAAAGGTGTATCACTCTTAAATTTACACTACTATTTTACCTTATGCATGCAATACTAATTATACTTTTATATAAATACATCGAATAGTACTGTTCATAACATTTATTTCAGATAATTTTATGGATTGATTAACTGACTAAAACAAATAAATATAAATTTAACAAAAGAGGATAAATTTGTCATTTAACAATTGTTAGCAGCAGAATTAATTGCAGTTTTAAATATAAAAGAACAAAATAAATAGTTAATAAAGTGCTGCATATCAATCACATCATTGCTACTGAAGTTCATCCACTTTGACCTCATATTGCTCACCAGAGGAAAGAATTTTAACACCCACCATTCCTCTGTGCCACTCGTCACTCCCAACTAAGATCAGCCTGCCAGCATTCATCCGAGCCGCCCGTTTGAACACCCTTTATCAAGACCAACTTTATTTCAGAAACTTCAAATTTGAGCATTAATACCAATCAAGAAAATGCCCAACAAATAACTTTAAAAACAAATGTCTTCAGGATTATGTACCATTTAAGTGGTTTGTTTTCCAAAACCAAATCGACTGTCTGCCCCTTATCCCGAAGTATGGTTGCAACTGAAGAAGCTGCACCTTGGAGATTGGGGTCCAGAGAGCAGACTATGTCGTCTACTTGCAGACTCAGTTCTGGTACAAGCCCCTTCTCCTTCAGAAGCTGCACAACATATTCTTCAGTTAATCTAACAGTAAGTATAGGCCTGTTTGGATCCCGCGAAAAACTAGGAAAAGAAAATGCCGAGTAAAATTGAAAATCAAGATTCTTTTTGGGAAAATAAAAAAATTACTCAAAAGTAAATAGATTTGTATTTGATACTAGTTCAAACTCATTTTATTTATTTTCTTTCTATGTGATAGAAATACTAAGAAATCTAAATAAATGTGTAAACTACGCTACTTCCATCTTAAAAGGGTAGGTACAATATCAACCACACATTATTTCCTCTTAAGAGGAAATGGAGAAAATTTTAGGAGGACCCAGCCACCCAGATAAAGAAAATGGGAAGAATGACCTGGGAGAGTTTTTTTCCGTATTAATGCTAATTAATTAAGTATTTACGAAAATAGGGTTGGGTTAAAAGTATTTACGGATATACGGCTGGGCTTAACCCTGGGTATAAAAAAAATTCATTTTCATTCAGATTTTTCCAAAGGTAAAGCCGACAATGACAAAGACACTTCCACTTAAATGACTCATTCTGACAGGGGGAAGACAAAAAAAATAAAGTCAAAACAAATAGAGCACTGAGTGGGGTGACGACAGTGTCAACTCACTTCAACTATGACTGCATCACCAAATCCAAAGCCACAAGCTGGAAGATCATCTCCTCCAAAAGTAGAGAGTAAGCTATCATATCGTCCGCCACCACATATGGCTCGCAGTTTTCCTCCTCTGTCAAATCCCTACAACATTTTGGCAATCCCTTCATATGCATTATCACACACAATGAAACATAAAAACTTCCATTATTGCCTCTGTCATAAGGGGTGCTCTAAATAGGACTATAATTTTGACAAAATGCACAAATATATATGACTATATGGATTTTATTCCCGAAATAGGACTCATTTGATTCTATTAAAAGTATAATTTTCCCCTATTAAGAGTGAATAAGTCCTATTTTAGAAAGAAAGCAATGATAATCCTATATAAGGAATTTTCTCTTTATTGTTTAGGAAACAATAAATGGGGGCGGAGGAAGTGATATGGAGTCCCATAACATAGTTAATTAGTTTTCAAACCAAAAATATACCTTCTAGAAATGCAAAATCATAAAAAACAATCTTGAAAATGATTATGAGCACTCACTAATTTTCAATAGTGAAACTTTCATTATTTAGTGACTCACTCCACCACAACAATGACAACTTAGAGACCAAATGTGGTGACACATACTCCCTCCATCCCGCTAGAACTTCCTACTTTGACCTACACACATATTTAGGAAATAAATTTGACTTTACTGTAGAGTAGGGTTGTAAACGAATCGAATAATTTTGATTCGATTCGTGATTCGAATTTGAAAATGTCGATTCGAATTCAAACAAGTAGAATACGAATACGAATACAAATCTGTTTTTTGATTCGAATACTTTACGAATATGAATACAAATACTATGATATTCATACAATATATACTACTTCTTATTAATAATATAATTCAATGTAAAAATATTAATAACATAATATTCATGTAAATATTTTGCATATTTTAATTTAAACGTTCTTACTTTACCAAGTCAAAATAGCTTAATTTACAATTAAAATTCTCCATTGATTTATTTATATTGATGTTAAATTTGAAGTGACTTGTATCATATTTTGTTTCATAATTTTAATTATTTCCACAATTTAACTTTAATGTTTTTCGAATTCAAATATTCAAATTCGATTCGAAAAAGATTCGAATATAGATATTCGAATATATCAAACGAATCGAATACAAATATCAAATAAGATTCGAATTGTAAACGAATACGAATACGAATATTCGATAATTATACGAATATGAATAACATTATTAAGTATTCTGTTCGATTCGATTCGTTTACAACCCTACTGTAGAGTACACTGTTTCGACATTGTTTGGCACTGTTTTGCACTGTTTGACACTATTTTGATGTAGGATAACTTTCCATTTAGGGAAATGAGAAGATCATTTTGGGATGGCTAAAAAAGGAAAGCAGGAAGATCTTAGTGGGACGGAGGGAGTATAATTGAAGGATTGGGTCAAGAGACTCCACAATTGTAAGTATCATTTTCCTATTAAATTAACGATACGTTGAAAGAATGGATGTACATTTCTTTCACCCAAAACTTAGCATAGCATAAAATATAAAAACTCAAGATTGAAGCAACAGCATGGAATCTATTTACTATTTATCAAAGGAAGCTTATAGAAAGCTGGAAGCCTCACTGCTAGCTTCCCTCTGATTGATTCATATCATATTTTAGGATTGTTAATGACTACGAATGTCTCTAAGGCTCAGACACTGTTAACTTAGAAGCAAATCTCTAAAATTCCAACCTCAAATACGATGCCAGTATAATAGGCTAATCCGCGTACAACTGATGCATCAAACTGAATCCACTCAGAATAGCCATACTTCTCAGCCAATGAAAACAATTTCTTCACATCAGTAACTGCTTCGGTAGCAGTCCCAAGCTTCTCTGCAAAGAACATTAATGGCATCAACATGATGACAACAGCAAGATTTGAAAGATCACGCGAAAGTATAATACACGTCCAGCAGAACCCACCCATTTGATTCCACTAAGCTCCTGAAACAAATTTTAGACCAAGAAACAATAGTCCCCTCCCAAGTCCCAACAGCTATAAAAATGTGAGTGAGTGCGCACGCGCAACCTAAGAGGCTGACACCATATAAACTTCAAAAGATTTGTTGTCTATTCACTCTATTGAGTATTGACTCAAAATCTTCTGAAAAGAAAAATTCATATTTTGAACCAAAAAAGGTCAAGATAACAGAAACGGGTGCCATTCAAACCTTCCAACTTCTCTAAAGAATTCACACTGAGCACTTGCAACAGCTCTTGAATTGCCACATCGGACAGCTCAGCTGATTTAAGCTCTTTCTTAATGTCATCAATAGGAATCTTTTCTAACTGCTTCCCAAAAATTAAAGTTGAATAGAGATCAGAAAAAGGCTTGATAGTAAAACTAACATTCAGAAGCATCATTTCATCATCATTTTCATTTACCCCAGTGCCACAAAGGCTCCCACCTACGGTGGGGTAAGGGGGGGTCGGATGTACGCAGTCTTACCCCTGTACTAAAGCATAGAGAGACTGTTTCCGGATAACCCATAGAACATTCAGAAGCATAATTTAGAAAAAAACAATGCAATTTTCACAACCATATCTTCTCAGCAGTTCAGTAGATGAAAAGAGATCATTGCCTCATTTGTAGTTCAATAACCGTTTAGCACCAATGAAAGAGTAATGTTACAGAAGACTAATCTGTGCATGAATTACTGATAACCTAATCACAAAGCTCACAACTATGTTCTACTTCCTGTCGGACTATCAACTTGTCAAACATAAACCTCAGTTTTCTACATTCTAGTGCAAAGCTTGAACTTATCATAAGAATTTGATCATGATTGTTTAGTGACCGGGTCAAGTGAGGCACTATCACTAAGAAATTTCAACATTAAAAATATAACTAAACCTGTAGAAAGTATTAAAAAACTCTATAATCTATTGCTTCTGTTTACATACTCACACCACCAACCTGCAAGTTTTTCACCTAGGTAAACTAAAAACTAAAATGGAAAACAGCATTTTTTGTGAAAATCACTGTAGAAGGGTGTCTGATACTCTGATATAAATATTAATGCATCATCTCCGTGCCAATTGTGGCACTATAAGGGGAGATAAACTTATTTATACACAACCAGATACGAAGGACCAAATCGAATGAAAACAACATCAAAAGCTCATCAAATATGAATAAATTGCGACTAAAGGAACTACGTTATAATAGAAGTCAAGAATAGGGTAACCTTATCTATAATTACGCACACCCTACTGAACATATTTTCTGGAACAGAGTAGCAATGCAGTACTTCTTGCAAAACCTGTCAAGTCGTCATTAGTGAAACAAAAGGGGAACATGTCACTTCTCCAAAACTATTGAGTATTGACTTTGATTCAAAGAGAAATTAGGCAGCACACCCATACAAACAGATAACCGTGCAGGCACGCACACATGTTTTTTGTGTTTTTTCCTGGAAAAAGAGACATGACTCTTACCTTCCGACTAGAGATCTTGAACCCAATGTCTGAAGCAGTGATCCCGATGCGTTTGAAAAAGGTAATGATTGCTGAAATTAGCTCAGCTTCAGCCTAATACAAAAACACATGAAAAACTAAGTTCAGTGTGCCCCATAAAGCTAAATACAGTGTTGCAGAAGACGGTAGGCACTCAATGGCACTTGAGTGGGCACCTAACCGACACAGAAGTACTTAATTGGGCATTAGTGATCCCTGAGGTGGGGGCTGTAAAGGGTGTGATTATTACAGAAACCGCAACTCAATACTTAGCCCCTAACTGAACACAATGAAGCAACTATGTCTTAACAAATAATGCAGCTTAGTAGATGATCCTAAAACGCCGAAACAACATTGAACTAAATATAAAACTAAAAAAAGAAATATACACCGCCAAAATGTCAGCACAGATAGTCCATATGGATAGCCAAATTTATGAAAACTCTCTTATTGCATCTAATGTCCAAGAGAGATGAATTCTCAAAATGCCCACTCTAGCATATATTCCAATAACTCATTTCAACTGCTTAAAATGTATAAATTACCAAAGGCAGAGCTGAAAAAACTAGCAAACCAGTTTTACAAACTTCTGTGTGTGTAACTGTATAATTACTAAAAAGCAGTATTGGTTTACGGCTAAAGTATAATTGGCATACAGTAACATCCGGAATGCCAATGATATCCATGTTCCACTGGTAATGTTCACGACGTCGGCCTCTAGTCATTCTTTCGTAGCGCCAGCACTGCCCAATGGCAAACCATTTTAGTGGAAGGGGTACTGATTTTCTGGACATGAAAAAAACATGGAGATCAAAACCTGGCACGAGTACCTGGATACAAAAAACAAGAAATATCATATAAATACCTATGAATATTTGAGCATTTTTCAAGGTAAATCATCATTTTTGTTACAGATATAATGATAAAGAAGTCAGTGACGATATATTTCAGTGCAACGAATGAGATAAAACAACTCAAACCATGTACCCTTTCTGTATCACAAGTCGTGCCAAGGAAGGTGTTAGTTCAGGTCTCAGTGCAACTCGGCGGTTTCCCCGATCTTCAAAACAGTAAAGCTAACAGGAAAGAAAACGAAACAAACAACGGGCAACAAAGATCATTCCTTCAATCAAAGGTCTAGTTTTGTAATAACTTAAATAATCAAAAGTGACTAACTGACTATATCCAAAAACCTGGTCTCTAATTTCCTCTCCAGCCTTCCTAATAAACAGTGCTTCTGACTCTAGCACTGGAAAATCTACCTCTTCGAACCCAAACAGCTGTGAAACCTACAACGCATGGTAAGAGATCATAAAGTGAATTTAACAACAATGTAAAGCTATGTAGAAGTAGCGCAAAGGCCAATGCTTTAGATATTACATGTATACTCGAATCGTGTGTGTTGTATGCCTTTATAAACAATGGTTGTAAATTTGTAATTTTTTTCTTCATTTTGAGTAAACTCATAGTCTTGATCTTCGTACTTAAAAACAAAACGATTGTATCATCAGTCCATGTTGTTTAATTATCTGCCCAACAGCTCAGTCAATTAGCCATTGTAAAAATGCTTTCTATCAGCAAAAATGTGACTTTTTATAGGTTAATGACTATCAGTAACTTTAGTGATCATGATTGTTTTCAACTCTAAGCTATAGTGTGACTATGCATAGTAACTATAGTAATATTCTTGTCCATGACTTATGTTTCAGCACTATTTAGGGGCAAAAACTCTAAAAAGATTAGCTCAGGAAAGTTTCCAATATAAAATGATATTCAAATTAAACAGTTCCATATATATATATATATATATATATATATATATATATATATTGTTTTCTCCTACTAATATGTAAATTAGTATTACCGATTAATTTACACATTGTGTAACAATACTAACAAAAAATTGAATTTGAATTTGCTAAAAGTTTAATAGACATCATAGATTGAGCAAAATACAGACCTCTCTGAAGTTCTGAAAGAGCCAATTGCGAAGACGCATGTCTTCCGGTGGGAAGTCCCTGGTTCCTTTCGGAGGATTGACATCAATTTTCTGCACGCCATCAAGCTGAACCGGAGGTCCAGCGAGAGAACCAGACCTGCCAGAACGGGCATTGGGAGACTGTGCAGATGATTCTGCACATAATGAGGGTGAGGAAGTCGAATGAGCTCTAAACCGGAAGCTGGACTGTGAAAAGAACGAAAGATTTAAATGGCGGGGAAGAGCGAGTGCGGTTGTCAGCCGCGGGAGGACGTGATAGTTGTGGCAGTTGATAATTAGTGAAGGGAACGAAATCGCCGGCATAGCTTCGGCTTTGAGTGAAGGCGCCTGGGCGGCTAGGCACCCCTTTCTAATCAAACGGACTCTCAAAGTGGGGATTGATTATCGAAATAGCAATTAAGAGCCTCGTTTGGATACCTCTTTTTTCGGCTTATCAGCAAACACGTAATTTTTACTTTCGCGTGTTGAATTGTGTAATAAGCAGAAAAAGTAAGGTTGGAGTTACTTTTCTGGCTGTATTGGCTGAAGTTACTGTAGATAACCATTTTAGCTATTTTTACATGTAATTTTTTCTTTATTTTATTAATAAAATATATTTTTAAAATTTTTTTTCCTAGAATCAGCAGAATCAGCCAAAACAGCCACTTCAGCCAGAACTTCATAAATTTCAGCAGAAACAACCAAAACAGCCGATTTTCGTGCTACCAAACGGGCTCTAAGTGTTATATATTAACATAGAAAAGAAATTATACCTCTAGATCTCTTAAAAACCCCACCCTCACATAATGTAGTGGTGAAAAGGGGTTTTTATTCGAGTTATTCTATACCAAATGACAAAGTATAAGTATTTGGCCCATCAAAACATTCAAAATATACATCAGTGCTGCATATGCACACGGCATGCACGCAAACAGATCATAGAGTTCAAATCATAACAAAAAAAAATACAAAGGTGGTGCAAATTGCACACACCCTAAGTCCAAAAAACTACTTCATGTCGCGGCATCCAAGATGTCCATGCAGCAGTGTCCCATACTCCCATGTGCCCAAGTCGTGGCATCCAAGAGGTCCATGTATTCCTGTATGTATTTAGAATTACTGTATGTATTTCCCTCTAATACTTGAGATTAATTTTCTTTAGAGAATATTATCCCAAGTAGAACTAAAAAGGTTTGAAAATTTCAAAATAGGACTGTCTTGTTTTTATTTCCAAAATATGAATAATTACTGTCATGTTTTGGCAGTACCAGACTTCAAACATGGCAGTTTTTCCAAACTTGGAAGTAATTACTCCTATTTTGGGAATAAAAAACATGGCAATCCCATTTTGGAATTTTCAAACTGATTTAGTCCTATTTCGGGAACTTTCTCTTTTCTTTAATAAGAAAGTTTTATTATTAAGGGGAAAATAATTAAAATACCCCAAATCTTGAAGGGGTGTGAGGTAAGCACCCCAAACTTTCTTATGTAATTTAAATACCCCAGACTTTATATAAAAAGTTATTTTAGCACCATGGTCATATATTATTTTTTTTCAAAAATGTTAATTTTTTATGTTAATTTCATAATTTAAAATATTTTAGCATTCATGAAGATACAATTAACATTCTAAACTTCCATTGTAAAATAAATATTACTGCCCCGCACTCGATCTATATAATTGCAACGTTTTGAATTTGCTAATTTAAATTATACAATTAACATAATAAATTTACATTTTTGAAACAAATGATACATGATCATGATGTTAAAATAATTTTTATATAAATTTTGGGATATTTAAATTACATATGCAAGTTTGGGGTGCTTACCTCACACTCCTTCAAAGTTTGGAGTATTTTAATTATTTTTCCCTATTATTAAAATAGTAATTTAGAATAAAGTACAACTCTAATGAGGAGAGAAAATTAGATCATTTGGAATGGCGTGGAGGCTAAAATGTCAAATATGGACTTTGTTTGTATGAGAACAGTGTTTTGACTGCTATTTCTCTGCATTCCAGCACCGTCAATAAGATACACTTTTCATACTTTTTTGCATATCAATTTCGTAAAACAAATTAAATGATTATATGTAATGTTTTCCTTTTAATTTTTTCTCTGATTAATTATGAAATAAAAATACACATTTTGATGTAAAAAAATAAATTTCATTAATTTTTTTAAGCTTTTCGATATTGGGTTCCAAACACATTGGGGCATTGAATTCTGTTCTCAACTTTTGTGTGTATGTTGGAAATTTGGTAGTATTTCAAATAAACAAATTAATTTTGAATGGAAGATTAATTTTGTAACGTGCATGGCTTAAATGTTTGGCTCTCCATCTTTATCTCCTTTTTAGTAGGATATATAACTTCCACTTTTGATGGAATTATATATATCTCCAACGCAGCTGATGCAAATGGAATATAGATATTAGCTACTGCTTCCAACAATCTCAAAACAAGGAACTACTTCTCCATAGAAAAAGCTACGTTGCAATACACAAACACAAAAATTAAATATTACATTTCAGATTTTCCATATAATATAACTCCAATGATGTTCTTACGATTCTCTCTAATAATATATCTTGCTGGATTACAAACTTTGCTTATATCCTCGTAGTTCTGTGCCCGGCTAATCGCCGAAGGGCTCGTTATATCCTGGGGGAAGATTTCCGGCTACCGGAAATACTTTCTTGAGGACATCGTCTGACGCGTCTCGAGCCATTGCCTTTCTTGTTATTTTCGTGTGCAGGTATTGCCATTAATTCACTGCATTGAGGGTGCAGTTCGGTGACAAAAGACTGACTGAAAACGACGAAGAAGGAACTAGCTTCTGGAAGAAAGCAGAAGAGGACGACAACCAGACCCGGACTTGCTGTTGGAAGTTTCTGGAGTGGAAGAAGAAGAAGCGGTTTGTCGGAAGACGTCAGCCAATTCAGGTGGCGAGAATAATTCCCCAACAGTGTATCCATAACACATTGAATTCTCTACTCAACTTGTTGTGTCTTTCATGTCACATTGGATTCTTTTTCCCATTGTGTGTGTCCTTTCATAGCACTTGATGATATTCTTCACTTGATATGATGTATCCAAACATAATAAATTTGATGTATCCTCTACTTGGTGTGAACATAAAAAAAAACTATATTACTATAAATACATGGTCTCACTTGACATTAGAGTCACACACCCCATCTTTACTTCCCCCATTTTCAAGTATTCTACAACAAGTCAAAAAAATCACGAGTTCTTTTCTCACATTTTACAAGTCCATTAATGAAGATGGAGATGAATGAGTCTATTCCGGCCGCATACGTATGGCTTTGATGTCTTCCTTGGTTGCAACAAGATCCAATAGTCGTGAGTACATAGGCTGTAGTTGAGAAGTAGATATCCAAGGGGGGATAATATGAAGCCTAAAGTATATGACTCACCCATTTGGAAAAGACTTTGCTCCATCAATGATTTGGCAGTATCCTTGGTTGACTCTACTTCGCAGCAACTGACCTGGAAGCACTCAAAAGATGGTCATTTCTCTTTCAAATCTGCTTATAACATCATAAGGCATCACAGAGGCTCTGCTTTCTCTTATAAACATATTTGGAATTCTAAACAGCAGCTCAAAGTTAAATTATTTCAATGGAAGTTGTTTAAGGGGATATTGCCAGTTTCTGAAAACTTGGGCAGGTTCAGTGTTATTGTCCAGCCCTCCATGTGCCCTCTTTGTCATGGTTCTAGAGATACTACTAACCATGTGTTCATGGGGTGTTCATTTTCTAAAGCTATTTGGGACTACTTTGGGCAGATCATGAATATTCCTAATTCCATAAATTGTCAATCTGTCAGGACTATTTGCTTTATGTGGTGGTTTGAGGCGGGTAGTAAATCTCTTATTGACGTTTTTAAGCATAATCTTCCAGGTATTATCACATGGCACATTTGGAAGACCTATTCGGAGCTAATTTGGGGAAATCTTACTAAAGCCCCTTCCACTGAAGACCTAATCTGGAAGATTAAACTTTATACCCAAAATTGGGTTCTAAGTTTCAATCATTCTAAGCTGCGATTTTCTACAGGCGTTCTAACTGAAGAAAAGCTTGTTCCTGTCAACTATCACATTTCCCAAAAGCTTTACAATCCAGTTCGTTGGGTGAAGCCAAAACAGGGGTTGAAATTGAATGTAGACGCTGCTTACATACCTGGCCAAGCATATGGAGGTGCGATTTTGAGAAATATTGATGGTAGGATGGTCTGTGCTACTGCTTTTCCTCTCGAGGCTCTATCCAGTTTGGAAGCGGAGCTAATGGCGCTGATAAAGGCGACGACTTGGGCGATTCACAATGGTTATGATGGGTTTCAGGTAGAGTGTGATGCTGATGAGGCTCTCGACTATATCTCAGGTAGGAAATTTGGCAGATGGAAGGAAGATATTGTTCGATTCAGGGAGATCTCTTTTAGGAAAGGTATTTCCTTCAGACATGTTTTACGGGAAGGTAATGAACCGGCACATTTGCTTGCGGGCTTCTCTCCGGCCCATTTGACCATTTGGACTGATGTTAAGCTTCTCCCCAGTCCGATTAGAACTGCTATTCTTCTGGACTTTTTTAATTTTCCATCTTTTAGATGGCGTGTTTAATTTGTTTTTTATTATTATTTTGATTTGTTGGGAGAGGTTTTGGTATAGTCCCCCTTTCTTTTTGTTCGCCCTCTCTTATTAATAAAATACTGGCAATTGACCCCCGGCTTTTGCCCCACTGATTTTGGTGGTTTGCCTTCCGGGGTAAAAAAAAAAGGCTGTAGTTGAGAAGCTGGACATCATTTGTTGATCGATGATTACTGAAATCCAACCCCCACCTACAACACGTATATCTTTCGACGCCATTATCGCATGCAACCAGCTTTGTTCAATCGAATCATGAAAGATGCCATGACCTCTGACACCTATTTTCGAAGTACAGTAGATGCAACAAACATGGTATCTCCTTCTCATCAACAAAAACTCACTAGTGCGATATTTATGCTCGCCAATGGTTGTTCGGCTGATTCATTAGATCAATTCTGTCATTTGAGTGAGACAACCACACTTTTGTGCATGAAGAAATTTTGTAGGGCAGTTGTTAGTGTGTATGATTCTTGGTACCTACGAACTCTCTCTTAATCCCGTGGATCTGCATCGTCTTCTTGAAATGGCCACAAAAAGAGACTTTCTTTGGATGATTGGGTCCATTGATTGCATGCACTGGGAGTGGAAAAATTGTCCTACATCTTGGGGCTCGAATTAAGCAGTTGCTTCTTATGATACTCATGTTTGACATGCATTTTTTTGCAATGCTGGTTCCAATAATTACCTCAACATCCTTGCAAGCTCCCTGGTCTTTGATGTTGTTGTAAATGGATATACCCCTCAGGTAGGATTCCATGTAGACGGTAAACACTAACTAAAATCAATGTTATTATATAGCTGGCGAGATTCACCGAAGTTAGGGAACTTTTGTTAAGACAATAAGTCATACAGAACTCCTAAGAAAAGGCTTTTTGTTTCAATGCAAAAGGCTTTCGTAAGAATGTTGAAAGAGCATTTGGGATTTTAAAAATTAGATGTGCTATTGTACGACGTCATGCACGCTTGCACGATATACGCACATTAGGTGATTTTACGATGGCATGCCTTATAATGTATAACATGAAAGTGAGAGATGATTATGAAGAGAGGGATGCAGAATCAACCTGTCAAGACTACCGTGAAGTCTATGACTATATTGGTGGCACTGCTGAATTTGATTTCAACCATGATGGCCCGAACTTGAGTCAATATATGATGCGCCACAATTGAATTCGAGACTCCTCGGTGCACATTACTTAAAATTGGTCTCATAAATCATATGTGGAGGCACCATGGAAATGAAATGTACTTTATATGCTTCCCTTAAATATTTATGTGTTTTCTTAATGCAATGTGTTTCATGTATTTCATTTACTAGTGTTGACTTCGTATTTGTAATGTTTTTTCCTAAAATCTTTATGATTTCCTTAATATTTAGGTGCCTTAATAAAACATTTGTGTTTGAATGAATTACTTCTATCTTTTTAGTAACTTACTTAATAATGTGTCAGACTTATAATAACTAAAATAAATGGAATTTAATTAAAAATAAACATGAACATTAAAATAACAACTCATAATTAAAACAAGAACACACAATTAAAATAACAACACATGGAATAAATTAAAATAACAAGACATGGAATTTGAAATTGAAACATGTTGCGTTCGTTCCATTATACTCACTTTCCACTTATCTCTTATCTTTTATTATAGATAATGCTTTGTTAGAAAAAGAACATGTATTAGTTATTTTTTACTGTGTGGTAATTGGGCTGTTATTTTTACTGCCTAATACATTAGCAACAGGTTGGTCTGCTATATACGGCTGGAGAAAAGGGGAAGAGGCCAGAGATGTGTATCAAGGTGATGTCGACGTCCGCCTCCTGAGACGAAGTAGACCGCTAGCTTCTAGACAGATATACTTACTTTGATGTCTATTATTATTGTATACTTGGCTTGGGACTGATCATTACTGGACTTGCCGATTATTATTTTATTGAATCGTATAAATTGCCTGCTTGGGTCACAACATTTGGTATCAGAGACCAGGCTAACTGTTTAATCGGGTGACTCAAGAGATGACGACAGAAACACGGATGAAGGATTTGTTCGATACCCAACGGAAACATGGAGAAGAGTTACAGGGACTTCGGAAGGAGTTCGCCACGGTTAACGAGCATCTAGAAAAAGTCAATGAGGGGTTCGTTACTATCAAACAGCAGCTGGAGGCGATGATGGCTATGCAACAAGCTCAAATGTCTAGGGATAAGGAGAAGGGGAACAATGAGGATACATCATTCAAATCTGTCTATACTCCACCGCATCTCAGAAATTCAAGCAACAGGGCCTACCATCCAGCGATGAGGTTAGAGTTTCCAGAATTTGATGGGGGAGATCCACGTACCTGGATGCGCAAGGCTAATCGATACTTCCAGTTACATCCAATGGATGAATTAACAAAGGTACTTCATGCTTCGTATTATATGGTGGGAGCTGCAGATTTATGGTAATATGAATATATTGAGAACAAACAACATGTAAACTGGGAATTTTTCTGTAAGCTATTATTGGAGAGATTCTTATCTCCAGGACATGAAGGTGTTGTGGTTGAATTTATGCAGCTGATGCAAAAAACTGATGTGGCTAGTTATGTTGAGAGTTTTGAGGAAATGAAATCGTTGGTGAGGGCTAAACATCCTGCGATTACTGAAGACTTTTTTATTTCATGTTTCTTCAAAGGACTTAAAGAGGAACTGAGGGTTCCGGTGCAATTGTTCAAACCCAGGACCCTCACCGGCGCTATCAATCACGCAAAATTGTGGGAAAGCACCCTGGATATCTGGGAGAAAAGGGCAAAGTGGGACAGAAGATGATGGTCCCTCAACTGGGGAACAAGGTTAATGATCTGGGAACTTGGAAAACTAGCTCATCCTTGGAGAAGGAAAATTTCGGGCCACAAGTGAAAAGACTATCCAGGGAGGAATATAATGCTTCACTATCCAAGGAGAAGGGACTATGCTTCACATGCAATGAGAGGTATGGGCCCGGCCATAAATGCTCAAAATTGTTTCAGATTATCATGAGCGAGGAGGGGGATGGGGAGAATGGTGAGACAGAAAATGAGATTGAAAAAACAGACATGGAGTGTACTGGGGATAGTGATGTAAGTTTACATGCTTTACGTGGTTGCAAAACCAGCAACTCGATGAAAATAACTGGGATGGTTGATACGAAAAATATCACAATATTAATTGACAGTGGCAACACCCATAGTTATTTGAATGAAAGCACTGCACGAGAGCTACAAAGCAGATTGGAGCTTACTCCCCCATGGGTGATCACCGTAGCTAATGGTGACCGAACGATCAACAGGGAAAGGTGCAGTACCTTTTCGTGGGTTTCACACGGGCACAAGTTAGAAGCAGACCTAAGGGTTACTCCCCTGGGAGGGTGCGATGTGATATTGGGGATCGATTGGATGTGGAAACATGATCCAGTGACTTTTCACCTTAAGAAGAATTGTTTGGACATCACTAAAGAGGGGAGGAAGTTACAAATTCAAGCCGAATCGGGTGGGGAAGCTTTGAAATTAATAAGTGGGGGGAGTCTTAAAAAAATTATTTAATAGAACTACTCCAGGGCTTCTAACACATTTGTTCCGGATGGAAGCAAAACCGGAGGGCACCATGTTACCGGTTAATATCAGTCGGTTGATAGATGAGTTTGGTGATATCTTCCAGAGGGATACCTCCTGAGAGAATTATTGAGCATAAGATTGAATTGAAAGAGAATGCAAAACCAGTTTCCATGAGGCCCTATCGATATTCATATGCGCTGAAAAACGAAGTGAAGAAAATAGTGGATGAAATGCTGGATCAAGGAATAGTATAGCTTAGTTCCAGCCCTTTTGCTGCTCTGATGATATTAATTAAGAAGAAGGACAACAGTTGGCGTATGTGTGCAGATTATAGAAAATTGAATGAGATCACAGTGAAGGACAAATTCCCTATGGCGGTGATAGAGGACTTACTTTCATAACTACACGGCCAACCATTTTCTCTAAGTTGGATCTAAGACAAGGTTACTTCCAGATCAGACTGAGGGAAGAAGGCAGAGTAAAATCTGCTTTTGTTACTCATCACGGCCAGTATCAATTCAAGGTTATGTCTTTTGGATTGACCAATGCCCCTGCTACTTTCCAGAAAATGATGAATCAAATTTTTTCAAAATATATTAGAAGATTCGTATTGGTATTCTTCGATGATATTCTAATTTACTGCAAGAGTGTGGAGGAACACTGTGAACACTTGCGACAGGTCTTACAGGTACTCAGGGAGCACAAATTGTACGCAAAGAGATCCAAGTGCAACTTTGGGTTGGATCACATAGATTACCTGGGTTACATTATTTGTAAGGAGGGTGTGGCTACAGATCTAAGCAAGGTGAAGGCTATGGTTGAATGGCCTCAACCAATTACTCTTAAAGCACTTCGGGCATTTCTGGGACTTACCGGTTACTACCGAAGATTTATAAAGGGGTATGGAACGATAGCTAAGCATCTAACCGATCTGACAAAAAAGGGCCAATATATATGGGGTGATTCATCCCAAATAGCGTTTGACGAACTCAAGAGAAAAATGGCTGAAGCTCCAGTATTAGCTTTGCCTAATTTTAATGAACCTTTTGTAGTGGAAACTGATGCGTGTATGACGGGAATAGGGGTTGTGTTGCTACAAAATCAGAAACCTATTGCATTCTTTAGCCAAACATTGTGTCCCAAAAACCAGGCTCTATCCACTTATGAGAAAGAGTTAATGGCCATTATGACGGCGGTGGGAAAATGGTTGAACTACCTAATGGGAGCTCCCTTTATCATCAGAATTGATCACCGGAGCCTTAAATATTTAAGGGGACAAAATATAGTTAATACATTGCAGCAAAAATGGTTATACAAACTAATGGGATTTAATTTCATCATTGAATACAAACCGGGAAAAGCAAATATAGTAGCAGATGCCCTGTCTAGACAATTTGATCGGGGAATTAATATAGAGAAAGAGGCTGATGGAGCAGCTTGTGCTCTAATAACTCACATACAACCACAATAGGTGGAAGAAATCATATATAGCTATGAGAAA